GACAGCGAAGAGTGCATCAAGAAGTACATCGTGGCAGTACAGACGCAGTTTGACTACAAGGTCAAGTTCGTTCGCCACGATGGTGCACGCGAATCCGCGGCAAATTCGCTCAAGGCATTTTACGATGATCAACGAATCGAGCAGCAAGTTACCGTTCCATATGCGCATCAGACCAACGGCACGGCGGAACGGGCAATTCGGACCATTGTGACGATCGGGCGCAGCATGCTTCACTACGCCAAGCTGGACAAGTTTTTTTGAGTTGAAGCAGCAATGACGGCGATCTACATCAAGAATCGCCTACCATCGCCCAAGTGCCAAGATTAAACCCCGTTCGAGATTGTCAACGGATTTCGACCAAGTGTGAAGCACGTGCGGGTTTTCGGCTGCCGAACGTTTGTGCTGACCCCTGAGGAAAAGAGATCGAAATGGGATCCAAAGGCCCGTGAAGGACGATTCATGGGGTACGAAGAAGTGTCAAAGGCATATCGCGTTTACGACATTGAAGCGGATCAAGTGGTGATATCTCGCGATGTCACATTCGACGAATCAACGTTTGGTTTCTCGCCGACGCTACCACAAGAAATTGTTGATGACACTGCGCTGGATGTCGAATCGATGAACATCAGCGATGAGCCTCACCCTATGCAGTTCAAGAAAACTGGAAAACGCAAAAGCCGTTCAAACAGCCAAGAACAAGCTCTGCAACGGACACTTCCTGAGCGTCGTGGAACCGGGTTCGAAGAAGCAAGTGCACCGGATGACTTTGAAACGCACCAAGCGAAGCGACGGTCAAGCGCTCGAGCCAATCTGGACGAAGAGCGAAAGGGCAGTGACGAAGATAACGAGGATGCTACACCTCAAGTCTTTTGGCGAGCGAGTGTCAACGCAGTCGAAGGTACTGACTTGTCTGAGCCGACAACGTTTAAAGATGCTGTTGATGGACCGGATCAAGTGCATTGGCGTAAAGCTATCTGTGCCGAGTTGGATTCGATGAAACTTCGTGGCGTGCTTCGAGCGCCCAAACAGCCAGCTGGACAGCATACCATTGGCACCAAGTGGGTATTCAATATCAAGCGGAAAGCTGATGGATCTATCGAGAAATACAAGGCGCGTCTCGTGGCAAAAGGGTTCAAGCAGAAATATGGCATCGACTACACGGAGACGTTTTTCCGGTAGTCAAGTACGTGACGCTGCGCATGGTAGTTGCAATCACGAAGTACTTTGACTGGACACTGGACCTACTGGACGTGGTGACAGCTTTGCTATGCGGAGAGATGAAGGAAAAGGTATTCTGCGCGATCCCAGAAGGGGTCGAAGTTGATGAAGACTTTGACTGCTTCGAATTGTTGAAGGCGATCTACGGACTAAAACAAGCATCGCGAGTATGGAACGAGAATTTCCATGAGTTCGTCTGCTCCATTGGATTCCAAGTATCTCATTTTGACCCGTGTCTTTATCTCAAGATTACAAGTGGCGAGTGCGTGCTTTTGCTGGTATACGTCGATGATGTGTTGGTGACTGGCAGCTCGACCGAACTGATTATGCGCACCAAGAGTGACTTGAAGGCGCGTTTCGAAATGACTGACAGCGGCAAGTGCGCATTCGTGTTGGGCATCGAGCTGGTGGACAACGACAGTGGTAGCGTGACGATGTGCCAGCGACGCTACGTGGAAGATGTTCTCAAGCGTTTTGGCATGAGCGACTGCAAAGCCGTCACCAGCCCAACAGACATTAGTTCTTGAATCATAACAAGCAGTGCAGTAACCAAAATCGACGCCCCGTTTTGTGAAGCAGTAGGCGCTTTAATGCACTTGATGACCGCGGCACGACCGGACATTGCCTTTGCTGTGAGTTACGTTTCGCGCTTCATGGAAAACCTCCAAGTCGAGCATTGGATGGCGGTCAAGCGCATTTTGCGATACTTACAAGGGACTAAGTCGGACGGCATCTGTTTCAAGTCTGATGACAAGATAGACTTCTGCGGCTACTCGGATGCAGACTGGGCCGGCGACCATGCAGACCGCAAGTCGACTTCGAGATATGCGCTCATCCTGATGGGTGATCCGGTGAGCTGGGGAAGCAAAAAGCAGTCAAGTTTGTCGCTGTCAACAAGTGAAGCTGAGTGCATTGCATTAAGTCTGGCTATTCAAGAAGGCAAGTGGGTGCATCGATTGCCATGCGAGATTCTGGATGCCGCAGAGGACAAGTCTGGACCCGAGCTCAAGATCATGGAAGACAACCAATCGTGCATCAAGATGACGAAGAATCCTGTGAACCATGGTCGGGCCAAGCACATCGACTCTTGTGGTCCAATGGAAGTCGACTCGCTAGGTGGAAGCAAGTACTTGCTACTGACCGTAGATGAAGGCAGCGGATGCATGAAGGGTTTCAGTCTGCGCGCCACGTCTGACAGCGAAGAGTGCATCAAGAAGTACATCGTGGCAGTACAGACGCAGTTTGACTACAAGGTCAAGTTCGTTCGCCACGATGGTGCACGCGAATCCGCGGCAAATTCGCTCAAGGCATTTTACGATGATCAACGAATCGAGCAGCAAGTTACCGTTCCATATGCGCATCAGACCAACGGCACGGCGGAACGGGCAATTCGGACCATTGTGACGATCGGGCGCAGCATGCTTCACTACGCCAAGCTGGACAAGTTTTTTTGAGTTGAAGCAGCAATGACGGCGATCTACATCAAGAATCGCCTACCATCGCCCAAGTGCCAAGATTAAACCCCGTTCGAGATTGTCAACGGATTTCGACCAAGTGTGAAGCACGTGCGGGTTTTCGGCTGCCGAACGTTTGTGCTGACTGTTGAAAAGACAGCGGCTGTGAAGAAGACACCTCGTCAAGCTGCGTCAAGTGTTGAAGCAAGTGGAAGACCAAGCTTCGCTATACCGGTGGGTACCGGTATGTACCAGTAAGGGCGAAGTCAGGAAATGACGTCATTGGATGACGTCAGTGGGTGACTTCAGTGGGTGACGTTACTGGATGACGTCACTGCGAATAATAGGCTTAGAGGTAGTATTCAAAGTTGCGAACTAAGTACCTATTACAAATATATATTCACTTTGCGTTTTGCACTCGGACCAAGAAGTCTAAAGTTCATCAGGTTATGAGCCCAAGTTCGTCAGACTCTGAAACCGCCAACAATTCAAGCTTAGCTGCCATGGACGCCTCCTCCCTCCGCATCTCCAAGTTCGATGGAACTAACTTCCACGCCTGGAAGTTCAAGATGCAGATGGTGCTGGAGGAACGGGACCTATGGGAGGTCGTCAGCGGTGAGATCAAGGCGGAACAGTGCGAGACTCAGTTGGACCAAGCGACGTACAAGAGGAAGTCAAGAAAGGCGATGGCAGTGATCTGTCTAGCCATGGAAGATTCCCAGCTACCGTTGGTCCGGTCGGCAAGTGGTGCATGCGACGCATGGTCAAGGTTGGAAGACCACTTCGAGAAGAAGAGTCTTGCCAACAAGCTGTTCTTGCGCCGTCGCTTCTTCACGACAATGATGGAAGAAGGCGACGATGTGCTCGAACACATCAACAAGCTCAAGACGCTGGCGGAACAGCTAGAAGCGGTGGGGGCTCCAGTCTGCGAGGACGATCTGGTGATCACACTTCTCGGCAGCCTGAGTGACTCGTATCAATTCTTGATCACAGCTTTGGAGTCGCGCTCAGACACTCTTAGCTGGGAGCTCGTGATGTCTCGACTGCTTCATGAAGAAATGAAGCGGAAGGAGCAAGGAAGTAAAGGTGATGAAGCTTCGCAAGGTCAAGCGTTCATCACAAGGGACAATCAGCGCAAAGGGCGACCAGTGAAGAAGTCCTGGCCGTGCCACAATTGCGGAAAGATTGGTCACTGGATGGCGGAGTGCCCCTCGCGCATCCAAGAAAACACGGAGAGACACCGGCCACAGCGTGCTCAAGACAGCGGCGACCGCTATCGATCACAACGTGCAAACGTCGCTCAAGAAGAAGACTCGGGCGACTACCTCTTTTCGATCGGTGAAACGACATCTGCGAAATCGAGCGACATCTGGCTGGTCGACTCCGGGGCGACGCAGCACATGACGTGCTCCAAGAAGTTCATGCGGAACTACAAGGGGTTTGACGCTGTGGATGTCCATCTCGCGGATGATGGAATCGTCCAAGCAATCGGCAGTGGGGACATTGTCATGTCGATGAAGACACCCCAAGGGATGAAGAAAGGTGTGCTCACAAACGTGTGGCACATCCCAAAGTTATCCAGAAACCTGTTCTCGGTCGGCCGCTTCACCAAGGATGTCGGCCCAGTGACGTTCACGAAGGATGGGTGCTATGGAGAAGCGAAAGGGACCAAGTGGAAAATTGGTGCCCGTGAAGGTAAAGGACTGTTCAAGCTGCAAATGACTCCAGTGGCGCCGGAACAAGCAAATGCAGCCAAGTCGTCGGGATGTCAAGGGGGCACCAAGTCGTACCTCTGGCACCTTCGGCTTGGCCACATAGGTCACGATGGACTCAATTGCATCGTGACGAAGGACATTGGAATTGGCATCGACATATCTTCGGTGAAGAAGTGGGACGTGTGTGAAGGTTGTGCTCTGGGAAAACAGACTCGAGTGCGCTTCCAATCAAACACTACAGCTCGCACCTCCAAACTCCTCGAAGTGATTCACAGCGACGTATGCGGACCGATGTCGATGGCAACTTTCAGTGGAAAACGGTACTTCGTGACATTCATCGATGACAAGTCAAGATACTGTGTCGTCTATCTGCTCAAGAGCAAATCTGAAGTTGCGGCGAAGTTCATGGAATACGCTGCGATGGCCGAAACGCAAACCGGAAAGCGCGTGAAGTACCTTCAAAGCGACAATGGGGGTGAATACAAGTCCGACAAGCTGGCACGATTCTGCGCGGAACGGGGAATACAACAAAGGTTCACCCCCCCCATATACTCCTCAGCTAAACGGAGTAGCTGAGAGAATGAATCGCACGCTGGTCGAGTGTGCGCGTTGCATGATGGAACACGCTGGACTGGGAAAGAGCTACTGGGGTGAAGCAGTGATGACGGCGATGTTTCTTCGAAACCGCTGTCCAACACGTGCCATTCACCAAGACAAGTCTCCATATCAAGTGTGGACGATGAAGAAACCGATTCTGGCCAACCTTAAAGTGTTTGGATGCCACGCGTATGTTCAAGTGCCTCAAGACAAACGCGCGAAGTTCGACTCCAAGTCATCACTCTGTCGTTTCCTGGGATACGCCGAACACCAGAAGTCATATCGATTTGAGGAAGTGTCAACAGGAGCGATCAAGATCAGTCGCGATGCCACATTCATGGAAGACAAGTTTGATGAAGGTCCGCGCAACTACAACGATGAGTCAAGTGCCGTTGAGTTTGATGATCAAGACGAGGACGAAGAAAAAGAAGAAGGTAAAACTGACGACGACATGGACTCGAGCGACGATGACAACGAAGACACCAGGTCTTCGAAGAGCAACATCAAGAGACACACGCGCACTCAATCACTTGAGAAAGCTACCGTCATTCCAAGTCCCAAGCGAAGAACGTACAGAGGTCCGTCGCTTGAGCATGTGTCAGCGGCTGCAATGGATTTTGAAGCAGCCTACATCGTTGATTCAGTGGGGGAAACGCCGACTACATTCAAGTCGGCGATGGAATCAAGCGACTCCGGCAAGTGGAAAGAAGCGTGTGACTCGGAGTTCGACTCGCTTCAGAGAAACGACACGTGGGAAATCGTGCCTCTTCCGAAAGGTCGCAAGGCCATCGGGTGCCGATGGGTTTTTCGTGTAAAGGAGAATCAAGATGGCGAAGTTGAACGTTTCAAGGCAAGACTTGTGGCCAAAGGATTCTCACAGAAATTCGGAGTTGACTATGAAGAAACTTTCGCACCGGTGGCCAAGTTCACATCGATTCGTGTGGTGCTCAGTATGGCGGCCAAGTACGGCCTAATGCTACATCAGATGGACGTCAAGACAGCGTTTCTTAACGGCTCCCTCAACGAAGACATCTACATGGACCAGCCGGACGGATACCTGGATGCAACACAGCCGGACTATGTGTGCAAGCTAAAGAGATCACTCTACGGCTTGAAGCAATCGCCTCGCATGTGGAACCAAACAATCGATGGGTTCATGATCAAGATGGGATTCAAGAAGTGCGAATCGGACCACTGCATCTACATCAAGCGAGACGACCAAGACATGATTCTCGTGGTGCTCTACGTCGATGATCTCATCCTGGCCAGCAGCAACAACGAACTCCTCAAGTCGACCAAGATGGCGCTGAGCAAACGCTTCGAAATGACGGATCTCGGTGAGCTCGATTACTTTCTCGGCATGGAGATCAAGAACGACCGTAAGACGGGAATGGTGACTGTGCAACAAACCAAGTTTCTCAAGTCCGTGTTGACCAAGTTCGGAATGGATAACAGCAAGCCAGTGAAGACGCCTCAAGATCCCGGCCTGAAGCTAACCAAGAACATGTGTGAACAAGAATGCAAGCACGAAGACACCATATGCAACGTGCCATATCGAAGTGCTGTCGGAGGCATCATGTATCTCATGGTCGCCACACGTCCGGATCTAGCTGCTGCAGTGGGATCATTATCCCAGTTCTCGTCCGACCCATGCCCGACTCACTGGCAAGCTTTGAAGAGTGTGCTGAGATACCTGCAAGCAACGCCCAATCATGGTCTTGAGTTTACACGTGAAGAAGGAAGCCGTATCTGCGGGTACACCGACGCAGACTGGGCCGGCGACATTGAGTCAAGACGAAGTACAAGCGGCTATGTGTTCATGATGAACGGAGGATGCATCAGCTGGAAAAGCCAGAAACAACGGACGGTCGCGCTATCTTCAACAGAAGCAGAATACATGGCGCTTTCCGAAGCAACCAAAGAAGCAGTATGGCTCAAGGTGCTTTTGGGGGAACTTGGTGAGATGACAAGCGACGAAGCGATCAAGATGTATGAAGACAACCAAGGATCAATCGCTCTCGCCAAGAACCCGGAGTTCCATAAGAGAACAAAACACATCGACATACGCTACCATTTTGTGCGTGAGAAGGTGGAATCAGGTGAAGTCGTTTTGGAGAATCGCCCGACTCAAGATATGCTGGCAGACATGATGACCAAGCCGATCGCCGCTGTACAATTTGAAAACATTCGCGATCGACTTGGGATCCAAGGTACCGCAGCTAACGAGTCGAGAGGGAGTGTTGAAAAGACAGCGGCTGTGAAGAAGACACCTCGTCAAGCTGCGTCAAGTGTTGAAGCAAGTGGAAGACCAAGCTTCGCTATACCGGTGGGTACCGGTATGTACCAGTAAGGGCGAAGTCAGGAAATGACGTCATTGGATGACGTCAGTGGGTGACTTCAGTGGGTGACGTTACTGGATGACGTCACTGCGAATAATAGGCTTAGAGGTAGTATTCAAAGTTGCGAACTAAGTACCTATTACAAATATATATTCACTTTGCGTTTTGCACTCGGACCAAGAAGTCTAAAGTTCATCACTGACCCCTGAGGAAAAGAGATCGAAATGGGATCCGAAGGCCCGTGAAGGACGATTCATGGGGTACGAAGAAGTGTCAAAGGCATATCGCGTTTACGACATTGAAGCGGATCAAGTGGTGATATCTCGCGATGTCACATTCGACGAATCAACGTTTGGTTTCTCGCCGACGCTACCACAAGAAATTGTTGATGACACTGCGCTGGATGTCGAATCGATGAACATCAGCGATGAGCCTCACCCTATGCAGTTCAAGAAAACTGGAAAACGCAAAAGCCGTTCAAACAGCCAAGAACAAGCTCTGCAACGGACACTTCCTGAGCGCCGTGGAACCGGGTTCGAAGAAGCAAGTGCACCGGATGACTTTGAAACGCACCAAGCGAAGCGACGGTCAAGCGCTCGAGCCAATCTGGACGAAGAGCGAAAGGGCAGTGACGAAGATAACGAGGATGCTACACCTCAAGTCTTTTGGCGAGCGAGTGTCAACGCAGTCGAAGGTACTGACTTGTCTGAGCCGACAACGTTTAAAGATGCTGTTGATGGACCGGATCAAGTGCATTGGCGTAAAGCTATCTGTGCCGATTTGGACTCGATGAAACTTCGTGGCGTGCTTCGAGCGCCCAAACAGCCAGCTGGACAGCATACCATTGGCACCAAGTGGGTATTCAATATCAAGCGGAAAGCTGATGGATCTATCGAGAAATACAAGGCGCGTCTCGTGGCAAAAGGGTTCAAGCAGAAATATGGCATCGACTACACGGAGACGTTTTTCCGGTAGTCAAGTACGTGACGCTGCGCATGGTAGTTGCAATCACGAAGTACTTTGACTGGACACTGGACCTACTGGACGTGGTGACAGCTTTGCTATGCGGAGAGATGAAGGAAAAGGTATTCTGCGCGATCCCAGAAGGGGTCGAAGTTGATGAAGACTTTGACTGCTTCGAATTGTTGAAGGCGATCTACGGACTAAAACAAGCATCGCGAGTATGGAACGAGAATTTCCATGAGTTCGTCTGCTCCATTGGATTCCAAGTATCTCATTTTGACCCGTGTCTTTATCTCAAGATTACAAGTGGCGAGTGCGTGCTTTTGCTGGTATACGTCGATGATGTGTTGGTGACTGGCAGCTCGACCGAACTGATTATGCGCACCAAGAGTGACTTGAAGGCGCGTTTCGAAATGACTGACAGCGGCAAGTGCGCATTCGTGTTGGGCATCGAGATGGTGTACAACGACAACGGTGGCGTGACGATATGCCAGCGACGCTACGTGGAAGATGTTCTCAAGCGTTTTGGCATGAGCGACTGCAAAGCCGTCACCAGCCCAACAGACATTAGTTCTTGAATCATAACAAGCAGTGCAGTAACCAAAATCGACGCCCCGTTTTGTGAAGCAGTAGGCGCTTTAATGCACTTGATGACCGCGGCACGACCGGACATTGCCTTTGCTGTGAGTTACGTTTCGCGCTTCATGGAAAACCTCCAAGTCGAGCATTGGATGGCGGTCAAGCGCATTTTGCGATACTTACAAGGGACTAAGTCGGACGGCATCTGTTTCAAGTCTGATGACAAGATAGACTTCTGCGGCTACTCGGATGCAGACTGGGCCGGCGACCATGCAGACCGCAAGTCGACTTCGAGATATGCGCTCATCCTGATGGGTGATCCGGTGAGCTGGGGAAGCAAAAAGCAGTCAAGTTTGTCGCTGTCAACAAGTGAAGCTGAGTGCATTGCATTAAGTCTGGCTATTCAAGAAGGCAAGTGGGTGCATCGATTGCCATGCGAGATTCTGGATGCCGCAGAGGACAAGTCTGGACCCGAGCTCAAGATCATGGAAGACAACCAATCGTGCATCAAGATGACGAAGAATCCTGTGAACCATGGTCGGGCCAAGCACATCGACTCTTGTGGTCCAATGGAAGTCGACTCGCTAGGTGGAAGCAAGTACTTGCTACTGACCGTAGATGAAGGCAGCGGATGCATGAAGGGTTTCAGTCTGCGCGCCACGTCTGACAGCGAAGAGTGCATCAAGAAGTACATCGTGGCAGTACAGACGCAGTTTGACTACAAGGTCAAGTTCGTTCGCCACGATGGTGCACGCGAATCCGCGGCAAATTCGCTCAAGGCATTTTACGATGATCAACGAATCGAGCAGCAAGTTACCGTTCCATATGCGCATCAGACCAACGGCACGGCGGAACGGGCAATTTGGACCATTGTGACGATCGGGCGCAGCATGCTTCACTACGCCAAGCTGGACAAGTTTTTTTGAGTTGAAGCAGCAATGACGGCGATCTACATCAAGAATCGCCTACCATCGCCCAAGTGCCAAGATCAAACCCCGTTCGAGATTGTCAACGGATTTCGACCAAGTGTGAAGCACGTGCGGGTTTTCGGCTGCCGAACGTTTGTGCTGACCCCTGAGGAAAAGAGATCGAAATGGGATCCGAAGGCCCGTGAAGGACGATTCATGGGGTACGAAGAAGTGTCAAAGGCATATCGCGTTTACGACATTGAAGCGGATCAAGTGGTGATATCTCGCGATGTCACATTCGACGAATCAACGTTTGGTTTCTCGCCGACGCTACCACAAGAAATTGTTGATGACACTGCGCTGGATGTCGAATCGATGAACATCAGCGATGAGCCTCACCCTATGCAGTTCAAGAAAACTGGAAAACGCAAAAGCCGTTCAAACAGCCAAGAACAAGCTCTGCAACGGACACTTCCTGAGCGTCGTGGAACCGGGTTCGAAGAAGCAAGTGCACCGGATGACTTTGAAACGCACCAAGCGAAGCGACGGTCAAGCGCTCGAGCCAATCTGGACGAAGAGCGAAAGGGCAGTGACGAAGATAACGAGGATGCTACACCTCAAGTCTTTTGGCGAGCGAGTGTCAACGCAGTCGAAGGTACTGACTTGTCTGAGCCGACAACGTTTAAAGATGCTGTTGATGGACCGGATCAAGTGCATTGGCGTAAAGCTATCTGTGCCGATTTGGACTCGATGAAACTTCGTGGCGTGCTTCGAGCGCCCAAACAGCCAGCTGGACAGCATACCATTGGCACCAAGTGGGTATTCAATATCAAGCGGAAAGCTGATGGATCCATCGAGAAATACAAGGCGCGTCTCGTTGCAAAAGGGTTCAAGCAGAAATATGGCATCGACTACACGGAAACGTTTTTGCCGGTAGTCAAGTACGTGACGCTGCGCATGGTAGTTGCAATCACGAAGTACTTTGACTGGACACTGGACCTACTGGACGTGGTGACAGCTTTGCTATGCGGAGAGATGAAGGAAAAGGTATTCTGCGCGATCCCAGAAGGGGTCGAAGTTGATGAAGACTTTGACTGCTTCGAATTGTTGAAGGCGATCTACGGACTAAAACAAGCATCGCGAGTATGGAACGAGAATTTCCATGAGTTCGTCTGTTCCATTGGATTCCAAGTATCCGATTTTGACCCGTGTCTTTATCTCAAGATTACAAGTGGCGAGTGCGTGCTTTTGCTGGTATACGTCGATGATGTGTTGGTGACTGGCAGCTCGACCGAACTGATTATGCGTACCAAGAGTGACTTGAAGGCGCGTTTCGAAATGACTGACAGCGGCAAGTGCGCATTCGTGTTGGGCATCGAGATGGTGTACAACGACAACGGTGGCGTGACGATATGCCAGCGACGCTACGTGGAAGATGTTCTCAAGCGTTTTGGCATGACCGACTGCAAAGCCGTCACCAGCCCAATCAGTTCTTGACTCATACCAAGCAGTGCAGTAACCAAAATCGACGCCCCGTTTTGTGAAGCAGTAGGCGCTTTAATGCACTTGATGACCGCGACACGACCGGACATTGCCTTTGCTGTGAGTTACGTTTCGCGCTTCATGGAAAACCTCCAAGTCGAGCATTGGATGGCGGTCAAGCGCATTTTGCGATACTTACAAGGGACTAAGTCGGACGGCATCTGTTTCAAGTCTGATGACAAGATAGACTTCTGCGGCTACTCGGATGCAGACTGGGCCGGCGACCATGCAGACCGCAAGTCGACTTCGAGATATGCGCTCATCCTGATGGGTAATCCGGTGAGCTGGGGAAGCAAAAAGCAGTCAAGTGTGTCGCTGTCAACAAGTGAAGCTGAGTGCATTGCATTAAGTCTGGCTATTCAAGAAGGCAAGTGGGTGCATCGATTGCCATGCGAGATTCTGGATGCCGCAGAGGACAAGTCTGGACCCGAGCTCAAGATCATGGAAGACAACCAATCGTGCATCAAGATGACGAAGAATCCTGTGAACCATGGTCGGGCCAAGCACATCGACACTTGTGGTCCAATGGAAGTCGACTCTATTGAGGGTTACCGGTACAATCCGAACCTAGCGCGTAGTTCTTACGAGATAGTTTTTACATCGGTAATTACCTCAGAGATGATTAGACGCGTAGGATGATTGGACGCGTGTAAATCAGGTTGATTAGATGCACCATGTGATTGGATGCAGTCTAGGGTAGGCAGAAGTTAATACCTATAAATCAATCACTTTCGAATCCTCCCTCAAGTGAGCAAGTGTTCTCTGCTTCGTTCTCTCCGGTCTCTCCGCTTCGTTTTCTCTTCGCCTCGCGCTCAAGTTACAACAGGTTATGAGCCCAAGCGCCATGTCGTCCAACAACACCTCGGCCAGTGTCTCCATCGATAAGTTCGATGGGGACAACTACTCAACCTGGTGTCGCTACATGCGCGGCGTGTTTCTGACGAAGTCAGTCTGGTACGTCGTGAACCGCGAAACGTCTCCAACCTTCACCGACACGCGAGCTTCCGACGAGTACGTCAAGGCGAGCAACATCGCGTTCGGGTTGATGTTGCTCCACATGGACGCCGACTACCACCATGTGGTCGACAACTGTGAAGAAGCATGGACAGCGTGGTCGCGGTTGAAGATGCTCTATGGTGGGTCGCAGAAGGCGGGACGCATCTACCTCAAGCGCCAGCTGTTCAGCATCAAGATGGCGGAAGGTGCCAACGTCTTGCACCATTGCAACGAAGTCTTGAACATCGGCGCCAAGCTCAGCAGCATCGGTGCCAAGATGGAAGACGAAGACATTGCGATCTGCTTACTGCGCAGTCTGCCCAATAGTTTCGAGAACGTGGTTCTCAACTTGGAGATGAGCAATGCAGAGCTGCGCACGCAAGATGTGGTCAAGGTGCTGACTAACGAGCACATCAAGCGACAAGGCGAGAAGATGACAACGGCAACGACAACGGTGAAGACTGAAGATGCGACAAAGGCATTCAGTACCGAGCGCAAGCCCTACCAATGCACATACTGCGGCAAGGTGGGGCACACGGCAGAGCGTTGCTGGACGAAGCAAAAGGATGAAAGTCGAGGAGCCCAACGCGGCGGCAATGGTCGTCGACGCGGGGCAAACAATGTCCACTGGCGACATTATGATGAAGGCAACAGCTACGATCGAGTGGCGTTTGCAGTTTCGTTCGAATGCGGAGTTTCGACGAACAAGAATGGACCAGGAATGTGGGCCGTTGACAGCGGGGCAACACATCACATCTGCCACGACAAGTTCAAGTTTGCAAGCTTGGTCGAAGGCAATGATGGCGAGATCCTGGTGGCTGATGGCAACAAGGCGGCCATCAAAGGTGTGGGGACCATCGTGGAAAAGGTGATTCTGCCAAACGGGGAAGAGCGCGAGATCGAGATCAAGAACGCGCTCTATGTGCCCAGCATGAGCAAAAATCTGCTCTCGGTGCCGCAGATTAACAAGCACGGCAACTTCCAAGTGGTGTTTGACGGGGATACGATGTACGTCGCTCGCAAGGATTCCAATCAAGTGGTGGCAGCTGCGGATCTTGTAGACGGACTCTACTGGCTTCGCACGACGCAGCGATCGGCCAATGCGACATCACTCAGCAACGCTGTTGATCTACATGCGCGAATGGGCCATGCTCCAGTCGACGTGCTTCGCAGGATGGTGACAAGTCACATGATCAAGGACGCTCACATCCCTTCCAAGCCGAATGGATCAAGTGTGTGTCGAGGATGCCAAGAAGGGAAGATGGTCCAAAAACCATTCCCGAGCAACCGTGACAAGCGCACCTACAACACCTTCGAGATGCTCCACTTCGACATCTGCGGACCCATGGAAGAAAAATCTCTGGGTGGCAGCAAGTATCTGCTGCTGATCGTGGATGAAGCCAGCGGATGCATGAAGGGTTTTTGTCTGCATTCCAAGTCAGAGAGCGAAGAGTGCATCAAGAAGTACATCACGATGATACAGACGCAGTTCAACAAGAAGGTCAAATTTGTGCGACACGATGGAGCCCGCGAGTTTGCGACGAACTCGCTTCAAGATTTCTACGAAGTCGAAGGCATCGAGCAACAAACCACGGTGCCATACGCACATCAAGCCAATGGAACTGCTGAACGCGCGATTCGAACTATCGTCACCATCGGTCGTAGCATGCTCCATCATGCCAAGTTGGACAAGTGCTTCTGGGCTGAAGCGGCAATGACGGCCGTCTATGTGAAGAACCGTTTGCCGTCACCCAAGATTCCACACAAGACACCGTTCGAGATTGTCTACAATTCTAAGCCAAGTGTCAAGCACATGCGCGTTTTTGGGTGCCAAGCATACATCTTGACCCCGAAGGAGAAACGACTCAAGTGGGATCCCAAGGCCCGGGCTGGATTGTTTTTGGGCTACGAAGAAGTGTCCAAGGCGTATCGAGTTTACGACATCGAAGCGGGGCAGGTGATGATAAGTCGCGATGTCAACTTCGATGAGTCGGCCTTAGGAATGTCGATGCTGATTTCCGATGACGATGTTGATGGCCTGGACTTCGAATCGATCGATCTTGATGATGAAGAACCGCGTCCGAGACACTTCAAACAAACAGGAAAGCGCAAGGCCCAACCCAGTCACGACAATGACGACGCAAGCATGCCCCGAGCAGTGCGCCAACGACCCGGATTGGAAGAGTCAAGTGCGCCGGATGACCTCTCTTCACGTCGAGCCAACGAAGATGAAGAAAGGAAGTCGGAGGAACAACATGACACACCGACTTCCTCCGCGTTTTGGCATGCGAGTGCAAACGCCGTCGAAGCAGCGGTCGATTTTTCGGAGCCGTCGACATTTGAAGAAGCAGTGTCTGGCCCGGACCAAGTACACTGGCGCAAGGCAATTGATGCGGAGCTCGATTCGATGAAGCTTCGCGGTGTCTTTCGTGCGGCCAAGTTACCCAACGGACAAAGCGCCATTGGCACAAAGTGGGTCTTCAAGATCAAGCGCAAGGCGGATGGGTCGATCGAGAAATACAAGGCACGACTTGTGGCCAAGGGTTTTCGCCAAAAGTATGGCATCGACTACACGGAGACGTTCTCGCCCGTGGTCAAGTATGTGACGCTGCGAATGGTCATCGCCATTACCAAGCACTTTGGATGGCCCCTCGACCAGCTCGATGTGGTGACTGCGTTCCTGTATGGAGTGATGAAGGAGAAGGTGTTCTGCGCTGTTCCGGAAGGCGTCAAGATGGAAGGTGATTTCGACTGTCTCGAGCTGATCAAGGCGATCTACGGTCTCAAGCAAGCCTCGCGTGTTTGGAACGAGACCTTCGACGAGTTCATACGCTCGATTGGTTTTCAAGCGTCGGGATTCGATCCATGTCTCTACATCATGACTTCGGAAGGCCATTGTGTTTTTGTGCTGGTCTACGTGGACGATGTCTTGGTGACTGGAAGCTCGCTCGAGATGATTGCGCGCACCAAGAACGACCTCAAGACACGCTTCGAGATGACGGACAGCGGCAAGTGTGCCTTTGTTCTTGGGATCGAGTTATTGGACGGTGAAGATGGCAGCGTGACTATGTGTCAGCGCCGTTATGTCGACGATGTCCTCAAGCGCTTTGGAATGGATGAGTGCAAGGCTGTGGCAAGTCCGGTGGACGTCAGCTCTCGACTGGTTCCAAGCAACTCTGCAAGCAAGGTGGATGTCCCATTCCGTGAAGCAGTGGGTGCTTTGATGCATCTGACGACTGCAACGCGACCGGACATCGCCTATGCTGTAAGCGTTGTGTCACGGTTCATGGAGAAACCCCAAGAAGAACACTGGGTTGCAGTCAAGCGCATCTTCCGCTACCTACAAGGCACCAAGATGCATGGAATCTGCTACAAGCCAAGTGCGAAGATCGACTTTCGTGGCTATTCAGATGCAGACTGGGCCGGTGACCTTGCTGATCGCAAATCGACGTCCGGCTACGTCTTCATGCTATTGGGTGCTCCGGTGAGTTGGGGCAGCAAGAAACAGCCAAGTGTGTCACTGTCTACAAGCGAAGCGGAGTACATCGCGCTCAGCCTGGCGATCCAAGAAGGCAAGTGGATCAATCGCTTGCTGTGCGAGATCATGGCGGCTGCAAACGAAGAAGGACCCGAGCTCGTCATCCGTGAAGACAACCAGTCGTGCATCAAGATGACGAAGAATCCGGTCAACCACGGCCGCGCTAAACACATCGACATCAAGTACCATCACATCCGTGATGAAGTCAAGCGCGGCGAAGTGAAGCTTGAATACTGCGAGACGACGTTGATGTTGGCGGACATCATGACTAAGGCACTGCACGGACCGCGTCACAAGGAGCTGACAGAGGCGCTTGGCATCCGCACGTGTTCGCATTGAGGGGGCGTATTGAGGGTTACCGGTACAATCCGAACCTAGCGCGTAGTTCTTACGAGATAGTTTTTACATCGGTAATTACCTCAGAGATGATTAGACGCGTAGGATGATTGGACGCGTGTAAATCAGGTTGATTAGATGCACCATGTGATTGGATGCAGTCTAGGGTAGGCAGAAGTTAAGACCTATAAATCAATCACTTTCAAATCCTCCCTCAAGTGAGCAAGTGTTCTCTGCTTCGTTCTCTCCGGTCTCTCCGCTTCGTTTTCTCTTCGCCTCGCGCTCAAGTTACAACAGACTCGCTAGGTGGAAGCAAGTACTTGCTACTGACCGTAGATGAAGGCAGCGGATGCATGAAGGGTTTCAGTCTGCGCGCCACGTCTGACAGCGAAGAGTGCATCAAGAAGTACATCGTGGCAGTACAGACGCAGTTTGACTACAAGGTCAAGTTCGTTCGCCACGATGGTGCACGCGAATCCGCGGCAAATTCGCTCAAGGCATTTTACGATGATCAACGAATCGAGCAGCAAGTTACCGTTCCATATGCGCATCAGACCAACGGCACGGCGGAACGGGCAATTCGGACCATTGTGACGATCGGGCGCAGCATGCTTCACTACGCCAAGCTGGACAAGTTTTTTTTGAGTTGAAGCAGCAATGACGGCGATCTACATCAAGAATCGCCTACCATCGCCCAAGTGCCAAGATTAAACCCCGTTCGAGATTGTCAACGGATTTCGACCAAGTGTGAAGCACGTGCGGGTTTTCGGCTGCCGAACGTTTGTGCTGACCCCTGAGGAAAAGAGATCGAAATGGGATCCAAAGGATCGTAAAGGACGATTCATGGGGTACGAAGAAGTGTCAAAGGCATATCGCGTTTACGACATTGAAGCGGATCAAGTGGTGATATCTCGCGATGTCACATTCGACGAACCAACGTTTGGTTTCTCGCCGACGCTACCACAAGAAATTGTTGATGACACTGCGCTGGATATCGAATCGATGGACATCAGCGATGAGCCTCACCCTATGGAGTTCAAGCAAATTGGAAAACGCAAAAGCCGTTCAAACAGCCAAGAACAAGCTCTGCAACGGACACTTCCTGAGCGTCGTGGAACCGGGTTCGAAGAAGCAAGTGCACCGGATGAATTTGAAACGCACCAAGCGAAGCGACGGTCAAGCGCTCGAGCCAATCTGGACGAAGAGCGAAAGGGCAGTGACGAAGATAACGAGGATGCTACACCTCAAGTCTTTTGGCGAGCGAGTGTCAACGCAGTCGAAGGTACTGACTTGTCTGAGCCGACAACGTTTAAAGATGCTGTTGATGGACCGGATCAAGTGCATTGGCGTAAAGCTATCTGTGCCGAGTTGGATTCGATGAAACTTCGTGGCGTGCTTCGAGCGCCCAAACAGCCAGCTGGACAGCATACCATTGGCACCAAGTGGGTATTCAATATCAAGCGGAAAGCTGATGGATCTATCGAGAAATACAAGGCGCGTCTCGTGGCAAAAGGGTTCAAGCAGAAATATGGCATCGACTACACGGAGACGTTTTTCCGGTAGTCAAGTACGTGACGCTGCGCATGGTAGTTGCAATCACGAAGTACTTTGACTGGACACTGGACCTACTGGACGTGGTGACAGCTTTGCTATGCGGAGAGATGAAGGAAAAGGTATTCTGCGCGATCCCAGAAGGGGTCGAAGTTGATGAAGACTTTGACTGCTTCGAATTGTTGAAGGCGATCTACGGACTAAAACAAGCTTCGCGAGTATGGAACGAGAATTTCCATGAGTTCGTCTGCTCCATTGGATTCCAAGTATCCGATTTTGACCCGTGTCTTTATCTCAAGATTACAAGTGGCGAGTGCGTGCTTTTGCTGGTATACGTCGATGATGTGTTGGTGACTGGCAGCTCGACCGAACTGATTATGCGCACCAAGAGTGACTTGAAGGCGCGTTTCGAAATGACTGACAGCGGCAAGTGCGCATTCGTGTTGGGCATCGAGCTGGTGGACAACGACAACGGTAGCGTGACGATGTGCCAGCGACGCTACGTGGAAGATGTTCTCAAGCGTTTTGGCATGAGCGACTGCAAAGCCGTCACCAGCCCAATCAGTTCTTGACTCATACCAAGCAGTGCAGTAACCAAAATTGACGCCCCGTTTTGTGAAGCAGTAGGCGCTTTAATGCACTTGATGACCGCGACACGACCGGACATTGCCTTTGCTGTGAGTTACGTTTCGCGCTTCATGGAAAACCTCCAAGTCGAGCACTGGATGGCGGTCAAGCGCATTTTGCGATACTTACAAGGGACTAAGTCGGACGGCATCTGTTTCAAGTCTGATGACAAGATAGACTTCTGCGGCTACTCGGATGCAGACTGGGCCGGCGACCATGCAGACCGCAAGTCGACTTCGGGATATGCGCTCATCCTGATGGGTGATCCGGTGAGCTGGGGAAGCAAAAAGCAGTCAAGTGTGTCGCTGTCAACAAGTGAAGCTGAGTGCATTGCATTAAGTCTGGCTATTCAAGAAGGCAAGTGGGTGCATCGATTGCTATGCGAGATTCTGGATGCCGCAGAGGACAAGTCTGGACCCGAGCTCAAGATCATGGAAGACAACCAATCGTGCATCAAGATGACGAAGAATCCTGTGAACCATGGTCGGGCCAAGCACATCGACACTTGTGGTCCAATGGAAGTCGACTCGCTAGGTGGAAGCAAGTACTTGCTACTGACCGTAGATGAAGGCAGCGGATGTATGAAGGGTTTCAGTCTGCGCGCCAATTCCGACAGCGAAGAGTGCATCAAGAAGTACATCGTGGCAGTACAGACGCAGTTTGACTACAAGGTCAAGTTCGTTCGCCACGATGGTGCACGCGAATCTGTGGCAAATTCGCTCAAGGCATTTTACGATGATCAACGAATCGAGCAGCAAGTTACCGTTCCATATGCGCATCAGACCAACGGCACGGCGGAACGGGCAATTCGGACCATTGTGACGATCGGGCGCAGCATGCTTCACTACGCCAAGCTGGACAAGTTTTTTTGAGTTGAAGCAGCAATGACGGCGATCTACATCAAGAATCGCCTACCATCGCCCAAGTGCCAAGATCAAACCCCGTTCGAGATCGTCAACGGATTTCGACCAAGTGTGAAGCACATGCGGGTTTTCGGCTGCCGAACGTTTGTGCTGACCCCTAAGGAAAAGAGATCGAAATGGGATCCAAAGGCTCGTGAAGGACGATTCATGGGGTACGAAGAAGTGTCAAAGGCATATCGCGTTTACGACATTGAAGCGGATCAAGTGGTGATATCTCGCGATGTCACATTCGACGAACCAACGTTTGGTTTCTCGCCGACGCTACCACAAGAAATTGTTGATGACACTGCGCTGGATATCGAATCGATGAACATCAGCGATGAGCCTCACCCTATGGAGTTCAAGCAAATTGGAAAACGCAAAAGCCGTTCAAACAGCCAAGAACAAGCTCTACAACGGACACTTCCTGAGCGCCGTGGAACCGGGTTCGAAGAAGCAAGTGCACCGGATGACTTTGAAACGCACCAAGCGAAGCGACGGTCAAGCGCTCGAGCAAATCTGGACGAAGAGCGAAAGGGCAGTGACGAAGATAACGAGGATGCTACACCTCAAGTCTTTTGGCGAGTGAGTGTCAACGCAGTCGAAGGTACTGACTTGTCTGAGCCGACAACGTTTAAAGATGCTGTTGATGGACCGGATCAAGTGCATTGGTGTGAAGCAATCTGTGCTGAGTTGGACTCGATGAAACTTCGTGGCGTGCTTCGAGCGCCCAAACAGCCAGCTGGACAGCATACCATTGGCACCAAGTGGGTATTCAATATCAAGCGGAAAGCTGATGGATCCATCGAGAAATACAAGGCGCGTCTCGTGGCAAAAGGGTTCAAGCAGAAATATGGCATCGACTACACGGAGACGTTTTTGCCGGTAGTCAAGTACGTGACGCTGCGCATGGTAGTTGCAATCACGAAGTACTTTGACTGGACACTGGACCTACTGGACGTGGTGACAGCTTTGCTATGCGAAGAGATGAAGGAAAAGGTATTCTGCGCGATCCCAGAAGGGGTCGAAGTTGATGAAGACTTTGACTGCTTCGAATTGTTGAAGGCGATCTACGGACTAAAACAAGCATCGCGCGTATGGAAGGAAATTTCTATGAGTTCGTCTGCTCCATTGGATTTCAAGTATCTCATTTTGACCCGTGTCTTTATCTCAAGATTACAAGTGGCGAGTGCGTGCTTTTGCTGGTATACGTCGATGATGTGTTGGTGACTGGCAGCTCGACCGAACTGATTATGCGCACCAAGAGTGGCTTGAAGGCGCGTTTCGAAATGACTGACAGCGGCAAGTGCGCATTCGTGTTGGGCATCGAGCTGGTGGACAACGACAACGGTAGCGTGACGATGTGCCAGCGACGCTACGTGGAAGATGTTCTCAAGCGTTTTGGCATGAGCGACTGCAAAGCCGTCACCAGCCCAAATCAGTTCTTGACTCATACCAAGCAGTGCAGTAACCAAAATTGACGCCCCGTTTTGTGAAGCAGTAGGCGCTTTAATGCACTTGATGACCGCGACACGACCGGACATTGCCTTTGCTGTGAGTTACGTTTCGCGCTTCATGGAAAACCTCCAAGTCGAGCACTGGATGGCGGTCAAGCGCATTTTGCGATACTTACAAGGGACTAAGTCGGACGGCATCTGTTTCAAGTCTGATGACAAGATAGACTTCTGCGGCTACTCGGATGCAGACTGGGCCGGCGACCATGCAGACCGCAAGTCGACTTCGAGATATGCGCTCATCCTGATGGGTGATCCGGTGAGCTGGGGAAGCAAAAAGCAGTCAAGTGTGTCGCTGTCAACAAGTGAAGCTGAGTGCATTGCATTAAGTCTGGCTATTCAAGAAGGCAAGTGGGTGCATCGATTGCTATGCGAGATTCTGGATGCCGCAGAGGACAAGTCTGGACCCGAGCTCAAGATCATGGAAGACAACCAATCGTGCATCAAGATGACGAAGAATCCTGTGAACCATGGTCGGGCCAAGCACATCGACACTTGTGGTCCAATGGAAGTCGACTCGCTAGGTGGAAGCAAGTACTTGCTACTGACCGTAGATGAAGGCAGCGGATGTATGAAGGGTTTCAGTCTGCGCGCCAATTCCGACAGCGAAGAGTGCATCAAGAAGTACATCGTGGCAGTACAGACGCAGTTTGACTACAAGGTCAAGTTCGTTCGCCACGATGGTGCACGCGAATCTGTGGCAAATTCGCTCAAGGCATTTTACGATGATCAACGAATCGAGCAGCAAGTTACCGTTCCATATGCGCATCAGACCAACGGCACGGCGGAACGGGCAATTCGGACCATTGTGACGATCGGGCGCAGCATGCTTCACTACGCCAAGCTGGACAAGTTTTTTTGAGTTGAAGCAGCAATGACGGCGATCTACATCAAGAATCGCCTACCATCGCCCAAGTGCCAAGATCAAACCCCGTTCGAGATCGTCAACGGATTTCGACCAAGTGTGAAGCACATGCGGGTTTTCGGCTGCCGAACGTTTGTGCTGACCCCTAAGGAAAAGAGATCGAAATGGGATCCAAAGGCTCGTGAAGGACGATTCATGGGGTACGAAGAAGTGTCAAAGGCATATCGCGTTTACGACATTGAAGCGGATCAAGTGGTGATATCTCGCGATGTCACATTCGACGAACCAACGTTTGGTTTCTCGCCGACGCTACCACAAGAAATTGTTGATGACACTGCGCTGGATATCGAATCGATGAACATTAGCGATGAGCCTCACCCTATGGAGTTCAAGCAAATTGGAAAACGCAAAAGCCGTTCAAACAGCCAAGAACAAGCTCTACAACGGACACTTCCTGAGCGTCGTGGAACCGGGTTCGAAGAAGCAAGTGCACCGGATGACTTTGAAACGCACCAAGCGAAGCGACGGTCAAGCGCTCGAGCAAATCTGGACGAAGAGCAAAAGGGCAGTGACGAAGATAACGAGGATGCTACACCTCAAGTCTTTTGGCGAGCGAGTGTCAACGCAGTCGAAGGTACTGACTTGTCTGAGCCGACAACGTTTAAAGATGCTGTTGATGGACCGGATCAAGTGCATTGGTGTGAAGCAATCTGTGCTGAGTTGGACTCGATGAAACTTCGTGGCGTGCTTCGAGCGCCCAAACAGCCAGCTGGACAGCATACCATTGGCACCAAGTGGGTATTCAATATCAAGCGGAAAGCTGATGGATCCATCGAGAAATACAAGGCGCGTCTCGTGGCAAAAGGGTTCAAGCAGAAATATGGCATCGACTACACGGAGACGTTTTTGCCGGTAGTCAAGTACGTGACGCTGCGCATGGTAGTTGCAATCACGAAGTACTTTGACTGGACACTGGACCTACTGGACGTGGTGACAGCTTTGCTATGCGGAGAGATGAAGGAAAAGGTATTCTGCGCGATCCCAGAAGGGGTCGAAGTTGATGAAGACTTTGACTGCTTCGAATTGTTGAAGGCGATCTACGGACTAAAACAAGCATCGCGCGTATGGAAGGAAATTTCTATGAGTTCGTCTGCTCCATTGGATTTTAAGTATCTCATTTTGACCCGTGTCTTTATCTCAAGATTACAAGTGGCGAGTGCGTGCTTTTGCTGGTATACGTCGATGATGTGTTGGTGACTGGCAGCTCGACCGAACTGATTATGCGCACCAAGAGTGGCTTGAAGGCGCGTTTCGAAATGACTGACAGCGGCAAGTGCGCATTCGTGTTGGGCATCGAGCTGGTGGACAACGACAACGGTAGCGTGACGATGTGCCAGCGACGCTACGTGGAAGATGTTCTCAAGCGTTTTGGCATGAGCGACTGCAAAGCCGTCACCAGCCCAACAGACATCAGTTCTTGACTCATACCAAGCAGTGCAGTAACCAAAATTGACGCCCCGTTTTGTGAAGCAGTAGGCGCTTTAATGCACTTGATGACCGCGACACGACCGGACATTGCCTTTGCTGTGAGTTACGTTTCGCGCTTCATGGAAAACCTCCAAGTCGAGCACTGGATGGCGGTCAAGCGCATTTTGCGATACTTACAAGGGACTAAGTCGGACGGCATCTGTTTCAAGTCTGATGACAAGATAGACTTCTGCGGCTACTCGGATGCAGACTGGGCCGGCGACCATGCAGACCGCAAGTCGACTTCGGGATATGCGCTCATCCTGATGGGTGATCCGGTGAGCTGGGGAAGCAAAAAGCAGTCAAGTGTGTCGCTGTCAACAAGTGAAGCTGAGTGCATTGCATTAAGTCTGGCTATTCAAGAAGGCAAGTGGGTGCATCGATTGCTATACGAGATTCTGGATGCCGCAGAGGACAAGTCTGGACCCGAGCTCAAGATCATGGAAGACAACCAATCGTGCATCAAGATGACGAAGAATCCTGTGAACCATGGTCGGGCCAAGCACATCGACACTTGTGGTCCAATGGAAGTCGACTCGCTAGGTGGAAGCAAGTACTTGCTACTGACCGTAGATGAAGGCAGCGGATGTATGAAGGGTTTCAGTCTGCGCGCCAATTCCGACAGCGAAGAGTGCATCAAGAAGTACATCGTGGCAGTACAGACGCAGTTTGACTACAAGGTCAAGTTCGTTCGCCACGATGGTGCACGCGAATCTGTGGCAAATTCGCTCAAGGCATTTTACGATGATCAACGAATCGAGCAGCAAGTTACCGTTCCATATGCGCATCAGACCAACGGCACGGCGGAACGGGCAATTCGGACCATTGTGACGATCGGGCGCAGCATGCTTCACTACGCCAAGCTGGACAAGTTTTTTTGAGTTGAAGCAGCAATGACGGCGATCTACATCAAGAATCGCCTACCATCGCCCAAGTGCCAAGATCAAACCCCGTTCGAGATCGTCAACGGATTTCGACCAAGTGTGAAGCACATGCGGGTTTTCGGCTGCCGAACGTTTGTGCTGACCCCTAAGGAAAAGAGATCGAAATGGGATCCAAAGGCTCGTGAAGGACGATTCATGGGGTACGAAGAAGTGTCAAAGGCATATCGCGTTTACGACATTGAAGCGGATCAAGTGGTGATATCTCGCGATGTCACATTCGACGAACCAACGTTTGGTTTCTCGCCGACGCTACCACAAGAAATTGTTGATGACACTGCGCTGGATATCGAATCGATGAACATCAGCGATGAGCCTCACCCTATGGAGTTCAAGCAAATTGGAAAACGCAAAAGCCGTTCAAACAGCCAAGAACAAGCTCTACAACGGACACTTCCTGAGCGCCGTGGAACCGGGTTCGAAGAAGCAAGTGCACCGGATGACTTTGAAACGCACCAAGCGAAGCGACGGTCAAGCGCTCGAGCAAATCTGGACGAAGAGCGAAAGGGCAGTGACGAAGATAACGAGGATGCTACAACTCAAGTCTTTTGGCGAGTGAGTGTCAACGCAGTCGAAGGTACTGACTTGTCTGAGCCGACAACGTTTAAAGATGCTGTTGATGGACCGGATCAAGTGCATTGGTGTGAAGCAATCTGTGCTGAGTTGGACTCGATGAAACTTCGTGGCGTGCTTCGAGCGCCCAAACAGCCAGCTGGACAGCATACCATTGGCACCAAGTGGGTATTCAATATCAAGCGGAAAGCTGATGGATCCATCGAGAAATACAAGGCGCGTCTCGTGGCAAAAGGGTTCAAGCAGAAATATGGCATCGACTACACGGAAACGTTTTTGCCGGTAGTCAAGTACGTGACGCTGCGCATGGTAGTTGCAATCACGAAGTACTTTGACTGGACACTGGACCTACTGGACGTGGTGACAGCTTTGCTATGCGAAGAGATGAAGGAAAAGGTATTCTGCGCGATCCCAGAAGGGGTCGAAGTTGATGAAGACTTTGACTGCTTCGAATTGTTGAAGGCGATCTACGGACTAAAACAAGCATCGCGCGTATGGAAGGAAATTTCTATGAATTCGTCTGCTCCATTGGATTTTAAGTATCTCATTTTGACCCGTGTCTTTATCTCAAGATTACAAGTGGCGAGTGCGTGCTTTTGCTGGTATACGTCGATGATGTGTTGCTGACTGGCAGCTCGACCGAACTGATTATGCGCACCAAGAGTGGCTTGAAGGCGCGTTTCGAAATGACTGAAAGCGGCAAGTGCGCATTCGTGTTGGGCATCGAGCTGGTGGACAACGACAACGGTAGCGTGACGATGTGCCAGCGACGCTACGTGGAAGATGTTCTCAAGCGTTTTGGCATGACCGACTGCAAAGCCGTCACCAGCCCAATCAGTTCTTGACTCATACCAAGCAGTGCAGTAACCAAAATCGACGCCCCGTTTTGTGAAGCAGTAGGCGCTTTAATGCACTTGATGACCGCGACACGACCGGACATTGCCTTTGCTGTGAGTTACGTTTCGCGCTTCATGGAAAACCTCCAAGTCGAGCATTGGATGGCGGTCAAGCGCATTTTGCGATACTTACAAGGGACTAAGTCGGACGGCATCTGTTTCAAGTCTGATGACAAGATAGACTTCTGCGGCTACTCGGATGCAGACTGGCCGGCGACCATGCAGACCGCAAGTCGACTTCGGGATATGCGCTCATCCTGATGGGTGATCCGGTGAGCTGGGGAAGCAAAAAGCAGTCAAGTGTGTCGCTGTCAACAAGTGAAGCTGAGTGCATTGCATTAAGTCTGGCTATTCAAGAAGGCAAGTGGGTGCATCGATTGCTATGCGAGATTCTGGATGCCGCAGAGGACAAGTCTGGACCCGAGCTCAAGATCATGGAAGACAACCAATCGTACATCAAGATGACGAAGAATCCTGTGAACCATGGTCGGGCCAAGCACATCGACACTTGTGGTCCAATGGAAGTCGACTCGCTAGGTGGAAGCAAGTACTTGCTACTGACCGTAGATGAAGGCAGCGGATGTATGAAGGGTTTCAGTCTGCGCGCCAATTCCGACAGCGAAGAGTGCATCAAGAAGTACATCTTGGCAGTACAGACGCAGTTTGACTACAAGGTCAAGTTCGTTCGCCACGATGGTGCACGCGAATCTGTGGCAAATTCGCTCAAGGCATTTTACGATCGGACACTTCCTGAGCGTCGTGGAACCGGGTTCGAAGAAGCAAGTGCACCGGATGACTTTGAAACGCACCAAGCGAAGCGACGGTCAAGCGCTCGAGCAAATCTGGACGAAGAGCAAAAGGGCAGTGACGAAGATAACGAGGATGCTACACCTCAAGTCTTTTGGCGAGCGAGTGTCAACGCAGTCGAAGGTACTGACTTGTCTGAGCCGACAACGTTTAAAGATGCTGTTGATGGACCGGATCAAGTGCATTGGTGTGAAGCAATCTGTGCTGAGTTGGACTCGATGAAACTTCGTGGCGTGCTTCGAGCGCCCAAACAGCCAGCTGGACAGCATACCATTGGCACCAAGTGGGTATTCAATATCAAGCGGAAAGCTGATGGATCCATCGAGAAATACAAGGCGCGTCTCGTGGCAAAAGGGTTCAAGCAGAAATATGGCATCGACTACACGGAGACGTTTTTGCCGGTAGTCAAGTACGTGACGCTGCGCATGGTAGTTGCAATCACGAAGTACTTTGACTGGACACTGGACCTACTGGACGTGGTGACAGCTTTGCTATGCGAAGAGATGAAGGAAAAGGTATTCTGCGCGATCCCAGAAGGGGTCGAAGTTGATGAAGACTTTGACTGCTTCGAATTGTTGAAGGCGATCTACGGACTAAAACAAGCATCGCGCGTATGGAAGAAAATTTCTATGAGTTCGTCTGCTCCATTGGATTTCAAGTATCTCATTTTGACCCGTGTCTTTATCTCAAGATTACAAGTGGCGAGTGCGTGCTTTTGCTGGTATACGTCGATGATGTGTTGGTGACTGGCAGCTCGACCGAACTGATTATGCGCACCAAGAGTGGCTTGAAGGCGCGTTTCGAAATGACTGACAGCGGCAAGTGCGCATTCGTGTTGGGCATCGAGCTGGTGGACAACGACAACGGTAGCGTGACGATGTGCCAGCGACGCTACGTGGAAGATGTTCTCAAGCGTTTTGGCATGAGCGACTGCAAAGCCGTCACCAGCCCAACAGACATCAGTTCTTGACTCATACCAAGCAGTGCAGTAACCAAAATTGACGCCCCGTTTTGTGAAGCAGTAGGCGCTTTAATGCACTTGATGACCGCGACACGACCGGACATTGCCTTTGCTGTGAGTTACGTTTCGCGCTTCATGGAAAACCTCCAAGTCGAGCACTGGATGGCGGTCAAGCGCATTTTGCGATACTTACAAGGGACTAAGTCGGACGGCATCTGTTTCAAGTCTGATGACAAGATAGACTTCTGCGGCTACTCGGATGCAGACTGGGCCGGCGACCATGCAGACCGCAAGTCGACTTCGGGATATGCGCTCATCCTGATGGGTGATCCGGTGAGCTGGGGAAGCAAAAAGCAGTCAAGTGTGTCGCTGTCAACAAGTGAAGCTGAGTGCATTGCATTAAGTCTGGCTATTCAAGAAGGCAAGTGGGTGCATCGATTGCTATGCGAGATTCTGGATGCCGCAGAGGACAAGTCTGGACCCGAGCTCAAGATCATGGAAGACAACCAATCGTGCATCAAGATGACGAAGAATCCTGTGAACCATGGTCGGGCCAAGCACATCGACACTTGTGGTCCAATGGAAGTCGACTCGCTAGGTGGAAGCAAGTACTTGCTACTGACCGTAGATGAAGGCAGCGGATGTATGAAGGGTTTCAGTCTGCGCGCCAATTCCGACAGCGAAGAGTGCATCAAGAAGTACATCGTGGCAGTACAGACGCAGTTTGACTACAAGGTCAAGTTCGTTCGTCACGATGGTGCACGCGAATCTGTGGCAAATTCGCTCAAGGCATTTTACGATGATCAACGAATCGAGCAGCAAGTTACCGTTCCATATGCGCATCAGACCAACGGCACGGCGGAACGGGCAATTCGGACCATTGTGACGATCGGGCGCAGCATGCTTCACTACGCCAAGCTGGACAAGTTTTTTTTTGAGTTGAAGCAACAATGACGGCGATCTACATCAAGAATCGCCTACCATCGCCCAAGTGCCAAGATCAAACCCCGTTCGAGATCGTCAACGGATTTCGACCAAGTGTGAAGCACATGCGGGTTTTCGGCTGCCGAACGTTTGTGCTGACCCCTAAGGAAAAGAGATCGAAATGGGATCCAAAGGCTCGTGAAGGACGATTCATGGGGTACGAAGAAGTGTCAAAGGCATATCGCGTTTACGACATTGAAGCGGATCAAGTGGTGATATCTCGCGATGTCACATTCGACGAACCAACGTTTGGTTTCTCGCCGACGCTACCACAAGAAATTGTTGATGACACTGCGCTGGATATCGAATCGATGAACATCAGCGATGAGCCTCACCCTATGGAGTTCAAGCAAATTGGAAAACGCAAAAGCCGTTCAAACAGCCAAGAACAAGCTCTACAACGGACACTTCCTGAGCGCCGTGGAACCGGGTTCGAAGAAGCAAGTGCACCGGATGACTTTGAAACGCACCAAGCGAAGCGACGGTCAAGCGCTCGAGCAAATCTGGACGAAGAGCGAAAGGGCAGTGACGAAGATAACGAGGATGCTACACCTCAAGTCTTTTGGCGAGTGAGTGTCAACGCAGTCGAAGGTACTGACTTGTCTGAGCCGACAACGTTTAAAGATGCTGTTGATGGACCGGATCAAGTGCATTGGTGTGAAGCAATCTGTGCTGAGTTGGACTCGATGAAACTTCGTGGCGTGCTTCGAGCGCCCAAACAGCCAGCTGGACAGCATACCATTGGCACCAAGTGGGTATTCAATATCAAGCGGAAAGCTGATGGATCCATCGAGAAATACAAGGCGCGTCTCGTTGCAAAAGGGTTCAAGCAGAAATATGGCATCGACTACACGGAAACGTTTTTGCCGGTAGTCAAGTACGTGACGCTGCGCATGGTAGTTGCAATCACGAAGTACTTTGACTGGACACTGGACCTACTGGACGTGGTGACAGCTTTGCTATGCGAAGAGATGAAGGAAAAGGTATTCTGCGCGATCCCAGAAGGGGTCGAAGTTGATGAAGACTTTGACTGCTTCGAATTGTTGAAGGCGATCTACGGACTAAAACAAGCATCGCGCGTATGGAAGGAAATTTCTATGAGTTCGTCTGCTCCATTGGATTTCAAGTATCTCATTTTGACCCGTGTCTTTATCTCAAGATTACAAGTGGCGAGTGCGTGCTTTTGCTGGTATACGTCGATGATGTGTTGGTGACTGGCAGCTCGACCGAACTGATTATGCGCACCAAGAGTGGCTTGAAGGCGCGTTTCGAAATGACTGACAGCGGCAAGTGCGCATTCGTGTTGGGCATCGAGCTGGTGGACAACGACAACGGTAGCGTGACGATGTGCCAGCGACGCTACGTGGAAGATGTTCTCAAGCGTTTTGGCATGAGCGACTGCAAAGCCGTCACCAGCCCAACAGACATCAGTTCTTGACTCATACCAAGCAGTGCAGTAACCAAAATTGACGCCCCGTTTTGTGAAGCAGTAGGCGCTTTAATGCACTTGATGACCGCGACACGACCGGACATTGCCTTTGCTGTGAGTTACGTTTCGCGCTTCATGGAAAACCTCCAAGTCGAGCACTGGATGGCGGTCAAGCGCATTTTGCGATACTTACAAGGGACTAAGTCGGACGGCATCTGTTTCAAGTCTGATGACAAGATAGACTTCTGCGGCTACTCGGATGCAGACTGGGCCGGCGACCATGCAGACCGCAAGTCGACTTCGGGATATGCGCTCATCCTGATGGGTGATCCGGTGAGCTGGGGAAGCAAAAAGCAGTCAAGTGTTTCGCTGTCAACAAGTGAAGCTGAGTGCATTGCATTAAGTCTGGCTATTCAAGAAGGCAAGTGGGTGCATCGATTGCTATGCGAGATTCTGGATGCCGCAGAGGACAAGTCTGGACCCGAGCTCAAGATCATGGAAGACAATCAATCTTGCATCAAGATGACGAAGAATCCTGCCAGCCATGGCCGTGCCAAGCACATCGACACTTGTGGTCCAATGGAAGTCGACTCGCTAGGTGGAAGCAAGTACTTGCTACTGACCGTAGATGAAGGCAGCGGATGTATGAAGGGTTTCAGTCTGCGCGCCAATTCCGACAGCGAAGAGTGCATCAAGAAGTACATCGTGGCAGTACAGACGCAGTTTGACTACAAGGTCAAGTTCGTTCGTCACGATGGTGCACGCGAATCTGTGGCAAATTCGCTCAAGGCATTTTACGATGATCAACGAATCGAGCAGCAAGTTACCGTTCCATATGCGCATCAGACCAACGGCACGGCGGAACGGGCAATTCGGACCATTGTGACGATCGGGCGCAGCATGCTTCACTACGCCAAGCTGGACAAGTTTTTTTGAGTTGAAGCAACAATGACGGCGATCTACATCAAGAATCGCCTACCATCGCCCAAGTGCCAAGATCAAACCCCGTTCGAGATCGTCAACGGATTTCGACCAAGTGTGAAGCACATGCGGGTTTTCGGCTGCCGAACGTTTGTGCTGACCCCTAAGGAAAAGAGATCGAAATGGGATCCAAAGGCTCGTGAAGGACGATTCATGGGGTACGAAGAAGTGTCAAAGGCATATCGCGTTTACGACATTGAAGCGGATCAAGTGGTGATATCTCGCGATGTCACATTCGACGAACCAACGTTTGGTTTCTCGCCGACGCTACCACAAGAAATTGTTGATGACACTGCGCTGGATATCGAATCGATGAACATCAGCGATGAGCCTCACCCTATGGAGTTCAAGCAAATTGGAAAACGCAAAAGCCGTTCAAACAGCCAAGAACAAGCTCTACAACGGACACTTCCTGAGCGCCGTGGAACCGGGTTCGAAGAAGCAAGTGCACCGGATGACTTTGAAACGCACCAAGCGAAGCGACGGTCAAGCGCTCGAGCAAATCTGGACGAAGAGCGAAAGGGCAGTGACGAAGATAACGAGGATGCTACACCTCAAGTCTTTTGGCGAGTGAGTGTCAACGCAGTCGAAGGTACTGACTTGTCTGAGCCGACAACGTTTAAAGATGCTGTTGATGGACCGGATCAAGTGCATTGGTGTGAAGCAATCTGTGCTGAGTTGGACTCGATGAAACTTCGTGGCGTGCTTCGAGCGCCCAAACAGCCAGCTGGACAGCATACCATTGGCACCAAGTGGGTATTCAATATCAAGCGGAAAGCTGATGGATCCATCGAGAAATACAAGGCGCGTCTCGTTGCAAAAGGGTTCAAGCAGAAATATGGCATCGACTACACGGAAACGTTTTTGCCGGTAGTCAAGTACGTGACGCTGCGCATGGTAGTTGCAATCACGAAGTACTTTGACTGGACACTGGACCTACTGGACGTGGTGACAGCTTTGCTATGCGAAGAGATGAAGGAAAAGGTATTCTGCGCGATCCCAGAAGGGGTCGAAGTTGATGAAGACTTTGACTGCTTCGAATTGTTGAAGGCGATCTACGGACTAAAACAAGCATCGCGCGTATGGAAGGAAATTTCTATGAGTTCGTCTGCTCCATTGGATTTCAAGTATCTCATTTTGACCCGTGTCTTTATCTCAAGATTACAAGTGGCGAGTGCGTGCTTTTGCTGGTATACGTCGATGATGTGTTGGTGACTGGCAGCTCGACCGAACTGATTATGCGCACCAAGAGTGGCTTGAAGGCGCGTTTCGAAATGACTGACAGCGGCAAGTGCGCATTCGTGTTGGGCATCGAGCTGGTGGACAACGACAACGGTAGCGTGACGATGTGCCAGCGACGCTACGTGGAAGATGTTCTCAAGCGTTTTGGCATGACCGACTGCAAAGCCGTCACCAGCCCAATCAGTTCTTGACTCATACCAAGCAGTGCAGTAACCAAAATCGACGCCCCGTTTTGTGAAGCAGTAGGCGCTTTAATGCACTTGATGACCGCGACACGACCGGACATTGCCTTTGCTGTGAGTTACGTTTCGCGCTTCATGGAAAACCTCCAAGTCGAGCACTGGATGGCGGTCAAGCGCATTTTGCGATACTT